ATTTGAAAAGTTGATTATTAAATTTAACATAACCATTCCTTTGACTTATCCATCACTCTAGTTCATTTTTGAACTTTGTAAAAACTTTCATCAGGTGTTACTCAGTGACTGAAAGGATTGCATTTGTAATCTTAGCCTTAAGATCATTCAAAGAATGAGATTTTGATGCATATATGAAAATTTGATGCAAATCCACAGTTTGAATGGATCAGATAACTGAGTTGACCAAGCAAGAGGACCCTAGTCTGAGAAAGTATCATCCAGAAACTGTAACAAAGGCAATACATAATGACAAGGTGCTTTATCTTATTAAAATTAAAATTTTAAATTTATCATTCAAAATTTACAAAAGTAAGTGTAAAAGAAATTTAAGTGAATACACTTTCAAAGGATGGTTTTTATAAGTTTCTTGCTTTTATATTTCTGAAGTTATTAAAAGGGAGAACTGCACTAAGGCTTTTGAAACACCATACTTTTCTGCATCACTGTGACTTAACTTCTGTGCCAGTAAAACAGGAAAATGACAATGATTTCCCCTACTAGTATGAGGAGAACACTAATTAATGTTTATGAGATGTGGAGAGATTCCTAGATGAAAGGGGTTATAAAAATACAGGTGACTATTTGAGTTGATGCTGTTATTAGTTTAGTCTAAATGGGCTTCCATATCCTGGAATACCTGGGAAAGTTCAGCCTACTTTGACATTACCATTCTGTGAGTTTTCAAATTTCAATTAAAACATGGGAATTTCCTCTAAAATGAGTTACTATAACCAATTATTCTGCATAGTCTGGGGTTCAGCAATGAGACAATGAGATATTCTTGATGCCTTAGCCAAGGGGTCGTAGGTGGAGGCACCTACTACCAGATCAAAGTATCTAGAGATGGAAGGGACCTTAGTGGTCCTCTAGTGCAGGACTTCTTAAACTTTTTCCACTCAAGACCCCTTCAGTGCTTCTTAAACTGTGGGTCGCAAACCCATATAGGGTCCAGGTCTGGTTGTCATGCTTAAAGGAACAATTGAAGAGTGATTTCCTCCTTTCTTTTCATTTCCATTTTTCTCCTTCTCCTTGCCATCAGTATGACAGAAAAGTAACATGGTAGAAAATAGAAAGCATGCTGGAGCTGGGATTCCGTCGAGGACCTGGGTACCACCTGTGCGACCTTAGGTAAGTCCTTGGATGGCAGTTTCCTCCTCTATCAGATGAGATGGTTGGATTAGATAGTCCCCAAGCTCTTCAAGTTCAAAATCCAGGATCCTATCTTCTACTTCCTTCTCCCTCCCTCTCTTTCCCTTTTCAAGTAATCACTGACAACTTTCTTTTCCCCATCTCATGTTACTTCCCTTCTGTTTGTCTGCCTTTAAAGGAAGCTAGGTATGTAGCTTACAGAGGGTTAGGCCTGGGGTCAGGATAGGCCTGAGTTCAAACCTAGTCTCAGACACTTACTAGCTGTGTGACCCCGGGCAAATCACTTAACCTCTGCCTATCTCATTTTCCTCAGCTGTAAAATGGGGATAATAACAACACCTAGCTTACAGTATGATTGTAAGGATCAAATGAGATAATATTTGTAAAGTGCTTAGCATAGTGCCTAACACATAGTAGGTACTTTATAAACTTGTATCCCCTTCCCCCTCCTTTTGTCTTAATCAAATATATGCCTTTGAAAAGGAGAATTCCATTTCTATCCATGAGAGTTCACACAACCTCCCCTCTCTTCATCAAATTTGCTTTTTGAAGTAGCAATGGCCCCAATGCTCCACAAATAAATGGTTTGCAAATCTGGAGTCAGAGCACTTGGGCTTGAAAGCTCTTCTAGGTCTGTTACCTAACCTGTCAAGTGAAGGCTTTGGGCACGATGATCTCTAAGTTCCCTTTCAGCTCCAGAATAATCAACAAAAGCATTTATTTTTAGCATAAATGGTGTCCCAAAGGTGGCTCAGTGGATACAGTCCTTAACCTGGAGTCAGGAAGACTCATCTTCCTGAGTTCAAATTTGGTCTTAGACACTAGCTGTGTGACCCTGGGCTAGTCACTTAACCCTATTTGCCTCAGTTTCCTCACCCATAAGATGAGCTGGAAAAGGAAATGCAAACCACTCCAGTATCTCTGCCAAGAAAACCCCCAAAAGGGTCAGGAAGAGTCAAACACAACTGAAAAACTACTGAACGACAAGATAATAGCATAAATGCTGTTAGTGTAAATCTAGGCATTCCGATGACTTGAATGAGTAGAGAGGGATATAGCACCAGAAACAAACAGAAAAGCAGTTCTTGTCCTGTAGAATAAAATCTGTTTAAAACTGGCACCATGCAGATGAGTCCTGGCTTCTCAAGAAAGGGTGATTGTTCATGACTGCATTTGTCCTGAGCAAATCTACCTTGGGGGATCTCAGGAGAGTTCCCAAAACCTATTAACATAGTTACTGGAACTTGTGTTCCAATCTAAGTAATAACATATACGCTGGGGGTTTATAGGTTTAGACTGGAATTGAAAGAATTAATAAGGTGCAAAGAAGAGAGTAAGAAGTCTGTAAGGGCCCAACTAGATTTAAGCCAAGATACAGTCATTCGGTTGAGTCCTTTTCCTATACTCTCTATTCTAAGCTTATGAATGCCAAAAGGCCAAAGTTGTAGCAAGGATCTAACTCTGCCAGTCCAGCTGAAGTAGTAAGGCACCCTGAGGGTGAGACAAGAGGTGGTACGTGCCGGGGAGCTGAACCACCACATCGTCAGCCACTACCCACCCTTACTCAGATCTTGAGCCCAGGATGCTGAGGCCAAGAACCCTGACAGGAGCACTGGCCCTGATGCCAGCCTTCGGGTGAGGAGTCTTTCTGAGAAGAGTTAGGTTGGTTCTTGGTAAACCCACACCCAAGGTGCACTCAAAAACCTTTCCAGTGAGACCTGTCAAAGCTTGCTCTCAAATGACATTGCTTTCCAGAGACTAGGGTCACATTCATGCCATAACAAGGTTCTAGAGGACTTTAGTGGAAAGTTTAAAGTTTACCTACAAGTGGGTAGGTAATAAGTGACTTTGGGTGATGGAGAAGGAATCCCATTAGCTTTCTTACCATTGATCTTTGCTAAGGGGCTATGTTGACCCTTGTAGGAGCTAAGACAAAGTGCTCCAACCTGGGCCCCATGCACAGTGCAAGCTCCAGCTACCTCAGGACTTGGGCTTGGTATCCTGCTGAAGTGGGGTCAAAATCATTGCTACTCCAAGGAGGCCCCCCTAGAGCAGGGGTGGGGAACCTTTGGACTCGAGGCCACATGTGAGGCTGGGGTGTCAGGTTGTGTTTCATTTGATTTTTTGTCTGGGCATTAGTTTTCTGGACTGTAAAATGGGGACAATATTTGTACTAACTCTGAGTTTTGAGTTGAGTTTTGTCTTTTTAAGAGTTAACACCTTATAGAAATGTGAACTGAGGATGATGATTTTTTTAGTCTTTGAAACCATGCCTCAGCAGCTCTCTCATTCTGGAACTTCCTTCAGTGTCTGGGTCCTCCTCACTGAGGAACATTCAACCATCCCTAAGGCATTTGCACCCTGGAAAAGCCCTCTGCTGATCTGTACCACTTCTCCCATTGGTGAATTCCTCCTGGAGCCTCCATTTTGTATCCTTCATTCTCCTCCCAGATCTCCTCCTGACTTTCCAGACTTCAAAACCCCGACTCTACTCAGGGTACCTTCATTCCGCACCTCCCCACCCCCAGCTCCTTTTCCCCCTATCATCTTCCCCTATTAGAATGTAAGCTCCCTGAGGACAGGGACTGTCTTTTGACTTATATTTGTATCTTAGCGTTTAGCCACAGTGCCTGGAATTTAGTAAGTGCTTAATAAATGTTTATTTCCTTCCCTCCTTTACACACAGGCATTATTACCCCATTTTACAGATGAAGCAACTGAGACTGGGAGAATAGAGTCGCAGTTATTAAGTTTTGAGGTTGGTTTGGAAGCCAGGTCTTTGTCACTTGGAGTCTACACTCATACTACACAAGCTTCTTCTAAATTGTTGCTCCATAGCTCAATATTTTAGACAAAGTGTGGCAGGTTTCGGGGGGTGCATTGAAAATGTGTGGTCCTTCACCTGGGCTCCACAGTGTAGAATTCAGGGGGTCTGGAACTTGGCGGGGGGCGGTGTGTGACGGAGACAAAGAGAGGAGAAACAGAGACAGAGAGATAGAGAGCCAGAGAGAGAATTATCTTTATTTTCATTAACGTCTAACAGGAAATTAGCATTTCTTTGAATTATTCAAAAACTTTATTCTGAAAAAGAGTCCACAGGCTTCACCAGCCTGCTACAGGGGTCCAGGAAATGCGCGCGCACTGTCTCTCTGTCTAAATGCTTTGGTCATTAGACTTTGGTGGTCATCTCAACTTTGCCTGAGTCTGGGTCTCGCTGTGCGCCCTCGGGCAAGTCGCTCCCCGTCTCTGAGCCTCCCCGCTAGGATGCGGCTGAGCTAGTGACCTCTAAAGTTACTTCTAGCTCCTAAACCCGGGATCTCCCGCGTGACAGTGCCCACGGTCGCCTCAAACTTCCCTACAAACACGTGTGTAAGAGGCGAAGGGTGGGGGACGCTGCCAGGACACTTTCGGGAGGGGAAACCAGAGTTTTAAGGAGGGGCAGGTCTCAGCCTAGCACCCAGGGGAGCCTCGCTAAACTAGCCTCTGCATTCACGTTCCCCTTTCGTTTCTACACTCCCCCCTCCCCTGCCAGCATAGAACTTTCCATCCCTACCCTTCTAGGAGTACCACTTGGACTCTTCCATGCGTCCGTAGAACGCATGTGCATACAGACCGCCTCCTCGCCTCGCCTCCCTCCAACGGCCTTTACCTCATCCAAACTACAACTCCCGGCATGACCGTCGCGGCGTCGCTATGCAAGAAGGCGGAAGCAGAGCAGTGGTAGGGTCTTGCTTCTCGCGCGCGTGTAGAAGGGAGCGGGCTCGGCGCAGGCGCAGCTCCGGCGCCGGGAGGTCGAAGGGGAAGCTCCCACCCCCTTTCGCTGATGCAAGAGGCGAGTGAGGCGCTAGGAGCGGCAGGAGCAGCAGTAGCACTGCCAGACCGGGGCCTGAAGCGGCGACTGGGCCGTCCGACTCTCCGTCCACACCGAATCCTTTCGAGCCGCAGCCATGTCCGGAGACGAGGTGAGGGCCCGATCCCGGCGCCGGAGGCTGGGGAGCGGCCGCCTTTGCGTGAGGAGCCGGCGAGGCTGGACTTGCGGCCTAACAGTGGCCGCCATGTGAGAGCGAGCGCGGGGCCAGCCGGGGGTGGAGGCCGGGGCCTAGGCCCAGGGGAACCTGCTCTGCATCGGAGCTGCCCGATTTCCCTCCACTCCCTTCTGCTGCTCGGATCAGAGCCCTGGATGCTCTCCTGCCCCTCACGTAGAGGGGTCGGAGCCGGGGTCACGCAGTGTCGGGGGCTGCTTGGGGCGAGTATGAAGGAGAGGGTCTTGGGGGAGGGGGGAGCGCGGCCTCGGGAGAGGCGGGGCAGGAAGGCAGGCCCGGTCTGGCCCTTGGGAGACCGGGAGACCGGAAGGAAGAGAACTTGCTGGCCAGGGGGGTCTCAGGCTGGTCTGTCCCCCAGCCCCTGCCTGGCCCCTGCTGTCCCTGGGAGGGACCGGGCGGGGTGCGGGCTTAAGGGAGGGAGTGTGAAGAGAAAGGAGTACCGGCCCTGGGGAGAAGAATGACTCCTGAAAGTTACCAGGAAGGGTGCTCCTCTGCACGCTGCCCCTCCCAAGCCTTCTCACATGGCCCCTCCAAAGTTAAGGGGCTCTTCAGACCTCTAGATTTCTTTTACCTCAGAATGTGGTTTTGAACCTTTACAACAAGGTGAGTTATCGATAGCCTGCTGCCACATGACTAAGTACCTGCTATCAACAAGAATCATTTTAAAGCACCTACTAGGTGCTAGGCACTGATCTAGGTGCTGGGGAGGTAGGTGAAAAAACAAGCCCTCCAGGAATTTGATCTGATAGGATTTAGGGAGAACTTGGGCAGAAGTGAAGAGCTCGGGTTTCCTGAACTTTTAATAGTTTTGAAAGGTATCCACTTTAATAAACAAGAGGTAAAACTGCCATCAAAGTAAAAATGGCATTATGGATATATTCCTAGATAGAGTAGAATATCAGCTTATGTACTAGGTAGACGTTAAAAAATTCCAATTGTCAATGGTTTCCATTTGAAATGGAAAGGGTAGTAGATTTTTCTGATACAGCACTTTGCAAGTTCTTATCTAGTTTTAGGAACTTGTAGAAGATAGTACTATGCTTTGTTTCCACCTGCTTTTTCAACATTTTGCAAAAGTTTATTGAATGCTTTTTTTCTGCAGTGCCCAGTGGTTTTTGGGATATGCAGATATTAAGATCACTCATTACATGTTTACTGATCCTTCTGTTGTCACAACTACCATATCCTGTAAAGTGAAGGGCAGTGTTTTTGAGTGGGTCAGCAAGATAATTGTGCTGCTGCTCCCTGGTGATTAACTCTGGATTCCTCTCATCTCTTTCTTTCATTTTACAATGGTTAAAGGCAATTAGTAATCCAAGATTGTTAAAGTGAACAAGACAATAGTCTAGTAGAAGAAATGAGACATGCACACAAATAATTGCCATAGGTAGGAGATTGTGACTTTAAAAAAAAAAGTACTGGCAAAGTGCTGTGTGATTTATGAGGAGGGAAATTCACCTGCAGCTGGAGTAGAGGGACTCAAAGGTGGCTTCTTTGGGAGATGGCATGTGACCTGGGTCTTAAAGGATGGGAGGAAGGGGAGGAGAGGGCCTTTTTTTTTTTTTTTTTGTGAGGTAGAGGATCATCTGGCCCCAGACTAAGGAAGGACCTGGGTTTAAGTCTTTTTTTCCAACGAACTGACTTTGTGGTCCTGGGCAAGTCATTAACCTTTCAGTGTCCCATGCACTCCCTAAGACTCTTAGTTGGAGAGCAGGTGCTAGCTTGCATTAGTAGAGGGAGTTTATTCCCTTAGAATTCCTTATACCAAATTACTAGCAGGTTTAGTTTCCTTACCCCACCTCTCCAAATAGGGAATGAGAGAAAAGAGTAGGGGTGAGTTTAGGTGGGAAATGTATGGAAGACCTTAAATCCCAGGTTTAGGAGATTAGAATTTGAGAGACCTTAGGAGCTCTTTTTTAGGAAAAGATCTTAACTATTTCAAATAAAATTTTTTTAACCAAGGTTTAAATGAATGAATATATTATACATATATACACACTGCACATACATAGTTATTTAGGATCCATTCATTGGAACTTCAGAAGGCCTTTTTCTTGCCTTATCTAGAATCTCATATGGGCTCTAAATGTATCAGAAGTCCCAGAGATGTCAGTGGTTAGCCACCAGTATGCTTTTATTTGGAAGAATATTCAGTATTTAAATTAGTACTTTCTGTAACTGGCCCCTATTCACAAAGTATCAATAATGCTTTAGTTTTAGGTCTTCAGTTACAACAAAGGTGTTACCCTGTGTTGATCTCTGACATGAGTACTTTGTAAAAGAGGCTTTAAATGAGTACCATGCTTTATATGTGTTAGTTCTTAAATAACCACAACATAGCTTCAGTGCCTGTAGTGTTTAACCACAGAATAGATTGTTGTTTTTAAGAAGTTACAATATTGTCTTTTGGGGAGGTAATGTGGTAGTGGGCTTTGAACTTAATAAAACTTCCCCTTCACGTGTTTACTTTATTTTCTAATAGAGTTAAAATTGGTTTGTTTGGGCTTTTTTTTTTAACAGGGATGAAATTAATATTAATGTTAACATTAATATTCAACAAATGTTGGCTTCTTAAATCCAAATTATCTTCATGAAGACAAAGTATAAATGTAGTAAAATGAAACTTAGAGAAGTCTTTTGTTTGAAAGGTAGACACAGAATTTGAGTCAGTCATCATGTTTTTAATAATGACATTAGTCTTAAACCATATAGGCAAATTAAATTTTGAATTGCCTGTTTAGGAAAATTTCAGTTAAATAGAAACAAAATTAACATAAAACAGTCTTAAAATTAGTGGGCCTCATTTTTTTCATTTTTATGCAGTGGCTATTCTTAATGCTTAAGAAACTGAGTGAAAAGCTTTTGGTGAATTTAAACATCCTGAATTTGAGCTGGAACTTTACAGAAACAATTAAACATTCTATTGCTCAGTAAGTGTATACTAAGCTTGTTGAAGATTGCTCTAGATTTATCCCTGAAAGTTACATAGCAGGGATATGTAAAGGATTCGATTATTTCTTACTAATTTAGTCCCCTTTTTGTTAAACTCCGGCTACCGTTTTCCTTTAAAATGAACAGTATTTTTTTCCCACAGAGTAAAATTGGGAATTTGACTAGTTTTGGATTCCTAACATCAGAACCCTTTTCCTGTCTTTTCTTTAATCTGTCTTGGGTAATGATTGAAGGGCTATTAATATTCTAGAGAGTTTTGTGCTTCAGGGATACAATAATATTTATCAAAAGCTATTCCACAAAATTTTGCCCTTTGCTATCACCAGGATGCATTTGTCAAGGGAGAATGCTCACAGGGAATTTCTTATACCAAATAAAATAATAAGTCCAATAAATTTTTATTTTATCTTTTTGGAAAACAGACAGCCAATTATGTTCATATTTTTGAGTAATTGTTTTTAAGTAAATTTTAGCAAAATAAGAATATCTTTCACCAACTTTTCCAATACATGCTATTTCAAATTTGTGGATGAAAATCATCAGGCTTTGCTGCTTGTGATGCTCCATGATCACATCTTGGTTCAGGTTTTACCAAGTGTTATTGCAATAGCTTTTGCAACAGAAAAAATACAGGGAGGGCATTCTAGATAAACTAGGTTGGTTATGAAAACCTTTAGTCTCTACTAATCTCTTGAAGATGTCATAGAAGTACTTACTGTGCATGACTGGTTTCTCTCACTGTTCTCAGTTGGTTATAGTTTGGAATTATTATGTGGTAAGGCAGGATGATATAGTGGAGTCAGAAGGGATTTGGGGTCTCAACAATGTCAAGTACCAAGTTATAAAACTTGGGGCAAGTCTGCACCTGATAACACCCATACCTATCTCACAGAAATATTTTTCAGCTCAAATGAGTTAATGTATGTGAAAGTATTAATTGCCACGTTAATGTCACAGAATTTTATAGCTGTGTATTAGAGTTGTGCACAATTCTCTTACTGTGCTTCCTGGCTGGCTAGGTAGCATCAGGATAGTAATTTCTAACCCTTTTGGAGTTGGTAATCTCACTGTTTGACCTCATGATTCACCTACCCAAACCCCAGTGCTGTGTGTTTGTTTAATCAAAGTGAATGAAAGTTAGTTTGAAAAGTTTTTAGAATTTCAGAATGGGGGGGGCAGACGATATACTGAATTAATGCAAATCCAGGGATTTTAAAAAGGCTTAACAGAAGATGCACAAGGAAACTGTAGCCTTTGAGTTGAAAAAGACAAATAAAAGATCTGAGGCCATGAGAGGGAATTATTCTCCTGGTTTGGGAAAATAGGCCCTCAGTTTCTAATAGTGAAAGGAAAGTCTTCAAGGAGGCAGGCTGTTAAATCATCCCCTTACTTTCACTAGATGGTCAGTTCATAATGTCACTAAAGTAGTTGTAAGGCTTAAAAAGTAAAGAAGGAATAGAATTTTACCTTAATTGTCAATATCAAAATACCATAAACTTAGAGAGCTCAAATGTAGGTACAGGTTAATTTTTTGAAATTGATTCATAAAAGGAAATCATCCTATCACTGTTGTTTTAACTATCCTTTAATCCTATTTCAAATGATCCTTTTCTTCATAGATATGTATAATTCCTGTAGATTTCAGTCCTTCAGCACCTTAACTGATGGTTTGAGTTGATTACCCCATGTGCAACCTCTTCCCCCCCCCCCCCCCCAAAAATCAACTGGTGGTCATTGTGGTGATAAGCTTTGCCAACTGTAGCTGACTGATCTGGAACAGTGGGTTGACACCAGTCTCAAACTCTTAAGCAGTTCCACTTTGGCAGGACCTGTCAGAGAATAGGTCACCTCCATGTCCCAGTGAGGCATCAGAATGGGACTTTATTTGGTAGATGATTTTTATATATATATATATATATATTTTTTTTTTTTTTCCCCAGGAAAACTGATAGGGCCAAAGAGAAGGAAATAAGTCAGTGAGAGCTGAGACTAGAACTCAGTACTTTTTTTTTTTAAATTTCAAATTCAGTGTTCTTTCCACTATACCATATTGCTTACCATATGTTTTGTGCATCTCAGTTTCAATTGTATTCTTGCAATTTCCCCTGTACTTTTAAGATGTTATTATAGAAGACTAATGATATCACTGGAGTGTGAGTTCTTCTTGCATTTAAGTCATAAAATGAACCCAGTGTTGTTTTTTTCTTTTTTTAAACAGATGATTTTCGATCCTACTATGAGCAAAAAGAAGAAGAAGAAGAAGAAGCCTTTTATGCTGGATGAAGAAGGAGATGCACAGACAGAAGAAACACAGCCCTCAGAAACAAAAGAAACTGAACCAGAGCCAGCAGAGGACAGAGATGTAGAAGCTGATGAAGAGGATGGTAGAAAGAAAGGTAAAAGAATACTATGAAAGAATCATTGTAAAACTTCAAAATTTAAAGGCCAGTTGATACCTTTTTATTTTTGAATTTTGTGGATGTCATGGCATGGCATTTCTCAGCCTGGTTGTGCTGTTCCTACAAAAGTAGTCATTAAGAGTTTGTTCTCATTTGCACTTGTCAGATTTATTGTGTTCTTATTCAAGCTAAGTTATGTTAATATGCAGTTAATTGATGTGCCATACAGTTGATGAAACATCATATGGAAAGTATAGTTAAGTCTTAGGTGACTGGTTTTTCAGTTTGTAGATTATCTAGGCAATCATTGGCCTCTCCTTTTTAGAGTAGTGGCTATAGTGAGCAGAAAAAAGTGGAAAAATTCATTTCACCTCACTGAGCATTTATTAAATGCCCACTATGTACAAGGCACCAAAAATACAAAGTTAAAAATAATGCAGTCCCGGTTTTTAAGGAATTTATTATTCTACTGGTGGGAAACAACACAATCCATGTACACAGATATATATATATATATAAGATAATATATATATTATATATATATTATATAATATATATATTATAAAATATATATATATAAGATAAATTTGGGCAACAAGAGTACAGGAAGAATAAACAACCAGGGGAATTAGAAAGGTCCTCTTGTAGGAGGTGGTACTGAGCTTAACTTGAAGATAGGGATACCTAGAACTAGCTGTATAGAGAATGTATTCCATGTGTGAGGATTGAGTCTAGGAGATACAATATTGCAGACCAATAAATAGGCCTGTTTGGATGGAACCTACAGTTTGTGAGTGGGAGTAACATTCAATACATCCTGAAAGACAGATTAGAAATCATCACTTTTGCTTCTTAACAGATCTGAAAAAATTTAGAGAAAGTGGCCAAAGCTATTGACTAAAATAAGATTTTGGTTGGTTGGTTTTGGAAAAGGGAGTAGATCCTCTGACTTTCTCTTCTTTCCTGTGGTATTCTCAGTTTACTATGAAACAGAAATAAACTAGCAGTAATACTTAATCCATCCTTTTTGGTTGACTTGACTGAACAAACTTCGATACCTTTTGGTTGTTATTCTAACTGCACCTTGGCATAACCATTCCCAGATTTCAGAAGGGAACTTTTATCTACTCAGTGCTTGAATAAAATAATAACGCTGACTGTTGCCTATTCACTTATTGGTAATTCCTGGGCTGTCCTTTTCAGATGCTTCTGATGACTTGGATGACTTAAACTTTTTCAATCAAAAGAAAAAGAAGAAAAAAACAAAAAAGATATTTGATATTGATGAAGCTGAAGAAGGTATAAAGGTTAGTATTCACATATATCATGTTATCTATTGATAAAATTTGGCCTCTGGACGTCAAGTTGCTAATGTTCCTTGCAACAAATGACATCCTCTGTTGATAGGTAAAGAAAAAAATGGAAAGCTGTATCTCAGATTTCTAATAGTCACTGTTCTTTTGGTCAGTTTGTTAAGAATGTGTCAAATTTGGCATCTTAAAGGTGTTGTGGTTTGAGGAATTTAGGTAGAATTCCATGTTAGTGGGATTCATCGTGATGTCCACTTCAGTATGATAGATTTTCAGGCATTGGTTTATACTTAACTTTTACTAAGGTATTTCTCTATAATATCTGTTTCAAGTAAGATGTATCTGTATTTGAATAGCTATGGTGATAAATATTCTTAATAAAATTTCATCCAGTTCTCACATGTTATGATGAAATTTTGGGTGGTCTTGTCATGGACAGCAGAATTTTGGTGAGGATTGATTTCTGGATGAAGGCAGTTAGGCTAACGAATTGTAAAATGATTTAGCTCAGATGCATTCACCCTGCATAAATAAAAATTTAAAAGCCCTTGGTTGATTTGTAAATACCTTAGATTTTGCAAGATTAGTGAACTGTCTGAATTAGCTTGTCAGCCCACAAAACAACCAATTGATGTCGCTTAACTTTCCCATAAACTGTCATTTTATAATCCCTTTCCTTCTCCAGAAAGAACCTCTAACCACAGAGGCAAATGTCTCAGCTCATAAAACCTTGAAACATGATCAGCAGATTTTGGAAACCACATATAGCTCATTTTACATCCCCTTCTAGTTTCTTGTTTTTTTGTAAATAATGTACATCTAATATTTGCTTTGTACCATCCCTGAAAGAAAAATCTGTTGGCTTTTGTATATTCAGAAAAATGACTTAGCTTAGAGAGATTTGGGTACAACATATTTCTTGCCTGTATTCATGTTGTTATTTCACTGAGTTTGAAAACTGCTGCTTTATCATTGTTTTGTTATTACAGGGAAACTTAAGGGAGAAATGCAGTAAGAAAGAGCTATGTACTCACGGTCTATTGTCATAGTAATATTAAATATTCATTGAATAAATGGGTGAAATAGTTTAAACTTATTTCATAATATCTGAAAATAATTACCTTCAATGGCTTAAGATAGTGCATAAAATTCTAGTTTCCTCTGTATCTGCTCTTACTATTTCTGCTGAGGGTAAATGTTTGGAAAAGTTTTTTGCACGGTAGGCTAGTTGTATCTAGGTGTTGATACAAGTGTCAGTGTTGTAGGTAGTTGTTATAAGACTGGATCAAAATAAGATGCTTGTAGATGTTCTAACAGTTAATAAAAATAGGTTTATTTAGTTATAGCAGGAAAAGGATATCCAGTAAGGATACAGCATTGGTTCAGTTAGGCATAGTTTGCATTGGCCATGCTTGTGTGTCAGGCATACTAAGGAGAATTGCTGCTTAGGCCATCCATACTCTTTGATAAACTTACTGTACTTAGGCCACCGGGAAGTTACATAAATGACCAGATTTAATTGTGCTGAGCCAGTAAAGTCTTGGTGCTATTTCAATGTCTTTTAAACAGAAACTCGTCTAAAGTGTGTGGTTAAGGCCTAGGCTCTTACCACCTATCTCTTGACCCTAAATATGGACTTAAGCTTCTAAGTTAACTTTATATTGAGAGTTTAGGGACCATGACTTGGACTTCTATTAGAGACTCAAGGGTTATATTTTCTCTCTAGGTGTGTTATTTTAGACAATTGAAGATTTTTTTGTGAAGAATAAATAAGTGGCTGGTATGTGGGAAGATTAACCTAAAAGGTCCAGAAGCTTGAGAATGGTTCTTTCTACCACTACCAACCCTCCTCCATCTTCTATCCTCTATTCCTCCCCTCTCCTTCCCTCTGATCGATACCATCTCTCCACTTCTTCCCTTCACCTTCATAGATTGGCTATAGTTTGGAAGCTGATACCTTCATTAAATAGAACAAATGAATCAAAGTCTTTTGGTCTTGAAACTTAAAACTAGTATAGGAATAAAATGTCATGCTGTTCTTTGCTAAATCTATCCTTAATGGGCAGTGATTTCTTTGAAGGTCAGGTTCTTATCTGGGACTGTGTTTGTATTATGGTATATATAGTATTATGCCAGTGCCATGAACAGATAAATCAGGAATGACCAAACTTGATCCTGAGAGTGGTGTGGTGTATTAAGTAGTTTCTTTCTTTTCTTTCTTTCTTTTTTTTTTTTTTTTAAGGCAATTGGGGTTAAGTGCCTTGCCCAGCTTCATGCAGCTTAGTAAGTGTTTGAGGCTGGATTTGAACTCAGGTCCTCCTGACTCCAGGGCCTGTGCTCTATCCACTGTGCCACCTACCTGCCCCATATTAAGTAGTTTCAAGATATGTTCAACTATTAATATATATTTACTTTTTCACTGACATTCTTATCTTTGCAGATAGTACACCTGTGAAATTAAAGTTGCCAAGGCAACTCCAAGTGCTTTGTTAGTCATAGGCTGGGGTTGGAAGTAACAGGGAGCTAGACTAGAAAGTGATCCAGGAAAACTGGTGAGCAGAAGTTGTGACTAGATCTTTCTTTGTCCCATCAGAGTTTCATAATTGTCAGATCTAGAATTAAGGTTTCATGACTTTATCAAAGTGATATATAACTTTACTCAGTTATCAAGCTTTTCTTTTTGTAGGAAAACAACTTTAAGAGTTATTTTCATGTTTCCAAAAGGCATTAAAATTATTATTTTTTAAATTAATTTATTTTTAGTTTTCAACATTCACTACCTTAAGATTTTGAGTTTTAAATTTTCTCTCACTCCTTCCCCTCCCAAGATGGCAGCATGAAATCTGATATAGGCTCTACTTATACATTCATATTAAGCATATTTTCACATTAGTCATGATGTAAAGAACAATTAGAACTAATGGGAGGAACCACGAGGAGGAAGAATCAAAATGAAACAACAAAGGGAAAAAAAAGCAAATAGTATGCTTCCCTCTGCATTCAGACTCCATAGTTCTTTTTCTGGATGTGGATGGCAGTTTCCATCACGTATCTTTTGAAGTTGTCTTAGGTTCTTGCATTGCTATGCAGAATCAAGTCTATCAAAGTCAGTCATCGTATAATGTGGCTGTTACTGAGTACAATGTTTTCCTGGTTCTGTCATTTCAACTCTGCATCAGTTCATATAAGTCTTTACAGGTTTTTTTTTGAAGTCTTCCTGCTTATCATTTCTTATAGCACAATAGTATTCTATTACATTCATATACCACAACTTGTTCAGCCATTCCCCAATTGATGGACAGCCCCTCAATTTCCAATTCTTTGCCACAAATATTTTTGTACATGTGGGCCCCTTTCCCATTTTTGTGATCTCTTTGAGATATAGACCTAGAAGTGGTATTGCTGGGTCACAGAGAATGCACAATTTTATAGCTCTTTGAGCGTAATTCCAAATTGCTCTCCAACGTGGTTGGATCAGTTCACCAACAATGCATTAGTGTTCCAATTTTCCCACATCTTCTTTGACATTTATCATTTAAATTTAAAATCATTTAAAATTACTGTAGACATTACAAAATATTTGGGAGTCCACTTGCCAAAACAAAACCAGGAACTATATGAACACAATTACAAAACACTTTTCACACAAATAAAGTCAGATCTAAATAATTGGAAAAATACAGTTGCTCATGGGTAGGCAGAGCTAATATGATAAAAATAACAATTCTACCTAAATTAATTTACTTAGCGCCATACCAATCAAACTACAAAAAAATTATTTTATAGAGCCAGGAAAAATAATAATCAGATTCATCTGGAAGAACAAAAAGTCCAGAACATCAAGGGAACGAATGAAAAGAAACACAAGGGAAGGTGGCCTAGCTGTACTAGATCTTCAGTTGTATTATAAAGCAGCTCATCAAAATTATTTGGTACTGGCTAAGAAATAGAATGATGGATCCAGTGGAACAGTTTAGGTATGCAAGACACAACAGTCATTGACTATGCTAATCTACTATTTGATAAATCCAAAGACTCCAGTTTCTGGGATAAGAAATCGCTATTTAACAAAAACTGCTGGGAAAACTGGAAAATAATATGGCAGAAACTGGGCATAGACCAACATCTTACACCCTATACCCAGATAAAGTCAAAATGGGTATAGGATTTAGATATAAAGACTAATACTATAAGCAGACTACAAGAGCAAGGAATAGTTTACCTTTCAGATCTGTGGAGAGGGGAAGAATTTATGATCAAACTGGAGATAGAGAACATTATGAAATGCAAAATGGATAATTTTGATTACATTAAATTGAAAAGTTTTTTGCACAGACAAAGCCAGTGTATCCAAGATCAGGAGGAAAGCAGAAAACTGGGAAAGAGTTTTTATAACCAGTGTGTCTGATAAAGGCCTCATTTCTAAAATATAGAGAACTGAGTCAAATTTATAAGAATATAAGTCATTCTCCTGTTGATAAATGGTCAAAGGATATGAACAGGCAGTTTTCAGAGGAAAAAATTAAAGCTATCTGTAGTCATGAAAAAATGTTCTAAATCACTATTGATTAGAAAAATGCAAATCAAAACAACTCTGAGGTACCACATCATACCTATCAGATTGGCTGATGTGACCAAAAAAAGGTATTAAAATTATGAACTGCCTCTGTTCTCCTGACCTTAATTCACTTCTCTTTAATTGACTGTTTCTTTCATTGTGCCTTTCTACTCAGTGTCCTACCTTTATATTATAGCTTAGATAGATAGATACTGGCCCATCTTTTTTTTTTTTTTTTTTTTTTTGAGGCAGTTGGGGTTAAGTGACTTGCCCAGGGTCACACAGCTAGTCCATCTTTTGTTTTGACATCACCTACTTTTCCCTCTGCATCCTTCCCCAACTTCCTCCCAGAGAGGCATCCCTTCTAAGAAAGAATTGTTGTTTTTTTTTTTTTAAGGCGGGGAGGAGTAAGAAAAGCCAACCAATGTTATCTCTCCGGTATAAGATTTAGGAAAATTGGACTGGGGAAAGAGAGAGGAAGCAAAGTGACCCTAGATTGAAAATTAATTTGTGTTCCATAAGTCATGATCTGGCTGCTTGACGTGGACATTTAATAAGTGTTTTTTGACAAATAACTATGGCCACTTTCTCAAATTCATGCCTTCAACAAATAACAGGAGTATGTACTTTGTTCCAGTCGGTTCTGTGGAGGATTCCTGAATGAGTCAATATTACTAGCTTACCTATCCTTTACTATATAGTAGGAAGAAAAGGCATATACAGATATATCTAAGGCAAAGTAAGATTTAAAAGTGCCACCAAAAGTACAAACAAAATGCTGTGGGAATTCTAAGAAGAAAGAGATTCCTTCTAGCTGGACAGTTTGGGGAGAAGGCTTTGTGGCAGAAGGTGCTCACTGTTAAACTGACAGGAGGTAATTAAAAATTGTCTTTATATTTTGAAATTTTCTCTTTTTCCCTCAAATCGTGCCAGCCAGATAGAAGATGATCTACTGTAATCTTTTAGAATAGTCTCTTATTTCAACATTCTAAGTGGCTTTGATTTTTTTAGGACCTAAAAATCGAAAGTGATGTACCAGAACCAGCAGAACCAGAAGATGACCTTGACATCATGCTTGGCAACAAAAAGAAGAAAAAGAAGAACGTCAAGTTCCCAGATGAGGATGAAATCCTTGAGAAAGATGAAGGTGGGGTGCACAACCTGTTTGTGTGGGGGCCAGTCCTTGGACTGTTAACCTCTATCTGTCAATCCCTCTTAAAACAGTTTTCTGTTCGTCAGCCCCTCTACCCCAAGGCTGACAAAGGAAAGCAAAAGGACAGGAAGGAGACAGGTTTGACTTGATATGGTGGAGGAATAAATTGCTGATTTTCTCTAAAGTGAGATTTGGGAATTACTGGTTAAGTCTGAATAATGGTAGAGCCATTCTAAATTAGAGAGTAAAGAAATAGGATTTTATTACTTCTCAAGTACTCAAACAGTATTAATACTTTCCTACAAATTTTTTTACCACCATTAACTTGCATTATTGATGAAGGCCTTGCCCAAACAATGAAAAAGTCAGTTCAGCCTTGTCCTAACATTTCTGTTAGAGTTTTCTCTTCATGCTCAGTTATCACATTGTCACTTTGAGGTATTATAATTGAGTGTGTATTTTAACGCTAGGTTACTCATTTCTTAGGTGGCCAGTATTCCATGGGTGAAGTACTTTTAAGGTTTATTTTTATGTGTTGTTGAATAAGGTATTAAGCTTCAGTGTTTGTTGTCATTTTCTGAATGTGCATTTTGTGGGCTCATATATGTCTCTCTCTCTCTCTCTCTCTCTCTTTATTTATATATATATATATATATATATATATTTGACTGACATTATAACATACCTTTGAAGTATATTTACATATGAGAAAGGTCTATCAGTTTGCTTAGGAATAGAGTGTTTTTTGTTACCTAAACTGTTTGGAGTCTTTTCTTGGGTATGCTGAAGAACTGTATGGCCTGATAAATCAGAAAATTTTCCTAAAATTGTTTGTATATTTAGCCCCAGCTTCAGAAAGTGGGAGGATTTGTCTTACTTTGGATGCCATATAGAGACAGCATAGTATAGTATGAGGATCCTCAGCCTCTTTGTTCCTCCATGCTCCTTGTCTTTCAGTCAGCTTTCCTGTGCCCTCAGTCAGAATGAAAGGAAAGAAATCCTCAATTTTACTTTATATGTACAAATAAGAAATTGAAAAAAGATTTATTTTTCATAAAGAAAACTATTTAATGTGAAACATTTTTTAGTATAGACAGTTCTTACTTTATGTAAATATGTGCATTATTTCAGCTCCCTGGTGGGTGGGCTGCAGGACCCGAACTGGCCCAGGCTCCTGCAGTAGCCGGGAACCCATGTGGAGCCTTGAGAGGGGAGGGGTATATCTTCAGAACTGTTCACTTAGAGTAAGAATTGGCTGTAACCTAAAGTTGTTGAATGTATGTCAGAACATAGTCAGTACATTAGTGAGACGCTTGAGACTGATTTCTAGTCAACAACAAGTTTATTCTTGGTATAGTTTTTGAAAGAGATCACCCCCATGTCATGTTCACCCTTAGTTTGTTGTTTTGGATTTGATTGAGAACAGGACTTAGAATCTGATTCACAGAGAGAAGTTATCAACAGAATTAAAGCTTTCGATCACATTTTTAGTAAAAATAGCATACCCTTCTCCAACATTACCCCCAAACTTTGTACCTTCATTAATTAAAAATCAATTTGGAATTTCTGGTTGTCAAGTAGATCAATTAGCTTGTCTTTCATTGAGTCATTGTTCTGATATTCTCTGGTTCTGTGTAAAAAAGTGTTTTGTATCTAAAACTTACTCATTTGGTTTTGTTTATAGAAATGATTCCTTCACCTGCCTCTTTGCCATTTTTCAGATGCTCTATGACACTCCCTTCTGACTGCCCACTCCTGAGCATTTGCTCCTGCTGGAGGCAGCACTTCTTAAACTGTGGGTTGCAACCCCATATGTGGTCAAGACCACCCACAGTTTAAGAAGTGTTGAAGGAATCGTGAGTGGAAAAATTTTAAGAAGCCCTGCTCTAGGGGATATTTAATAGGATAAAATTGGTGTTGACCATGTATTTCCCCCACACCCTTGACAGGTCTCATGCCCCCAAGGTTTTCCACCCACATCTGGTGTAGTGAAAGGAGCATTTGTGGCGTTGTGGCCTCAATCTGCACCAGCCACGTGTGACCTCAGGGGACTTGGCTGGTGGAACCTTTAGTTTCACAGTTGTTGTCTCGAGACACAGTCACGTAATCCCTAACTGGTTCTAGGAAAACTTGAAATTAGGTGGAACAGCATTACAAAGGGATATAGTTTGTTCTGAAAACACTTTCTTGCAAGTAGACTAACAACATCATAGGACGGAATTTGATTTTAGTGTATTATTGACATTGGTTGATCTATTATTGTATAAGGTTTCCTACAATGACATTACCTTAAGAGTTGTTCTGGGGATTGAATATTTTAATGTATGTCAAGTGATCAACTTCATAGCACTGTGTAAATGTAAATTAAATTTCAGTTTATGTTAAAAAAAACAAGTGGTAATGTGGCAGTTATTTCAAGTAGCTTATGTGCTTTAAGCTGCCTTAATATGTGAATGAAATTATAACGGGAAAAGAAATTAATATTAAGAGTCTTCCCTTGGGAATTTATTTTGTTTTTATCTCAAGCTTTGGAAGATGAAGACAGCAAAAAGGATGACGGAATCTCCTTCAGCAATCAGACTGGCCCTGCATGGGCAGGCTCAGAAAGAGATTATACTTATGATGAGGTAAAATACTCCTTTTTGTGAAAAAATACCTGAAAATCTGTTACTTGGTTATATAAGCAAAGTACCCAAATGCTGCTTCATTAGGCAGCCTTGTCCAACCTTTCTACTGCCAACTATGACTGTAGGCTCTCTGAGCCCAATTTGAACTCTAGAATCCCAGCATCTTTTGATCTGACCCATACTGGGCCGAGTCAGATGATGTGCTCGTCGACATGTCTGTATTGGGAGTTTGTTAGGAGGACTTGAAAACTAGTTCATACCAGGAATTATTTTGTCTCCTGGGCCCTTCTAATTGGAGAGAGGTAGGACAGGTGGGTAGTTAGGGGTGCTAACAGGTAAGAATTTTATTTTTGAGCTTAATCATTCTTAGTCTGTTAGAAATTTCTTGGAACAGCAGAATTAATGGAGAGTTTTCATTCCTTGTTAGCACATAAGGGCATGTGTATATATACATTTTAAAGCTGAAAAATGAAATTAGCTTTCAGTAAAGTTAAAAGGAGATTTTGGCAACTTTCATACCCCCAAATGAATCTTGTGGCATTCTGCATCCCATACTCTGTACACAATGAGAAGCTAGAAGCTGTTAAATGTCACCTCCAGTTACTGAGACTGAAGAAAATCAGCTTATTAAATGTGTACGCTAATTGCCTGTTTTTGTAGTTGCTGAATCGAGTATTCAACATAATGCGGGAAAAGAATCCAGATATGGTTGCTGGAGAAAAAAGGAAATTTGTCATGAAACCTCCACAGGTTGTTAGAGTAGGAACCAAGAAAACTTCTTTTGTCAACTTCACAGATATCTGTAAACTGTAAGTACTGCCTGGGAAACTTCTCGGTTTGAATTTGAATGTAGTTTGCCAGACAGATCCTTCACTTGTATACTCTTGAATTTGGCATAGTTTAAGTAGGTTTGGAAAATGTCTTTCTGAAGATACATTGCTTCTATAAATTGTAATAGTAGAGTTGGAAAGCAAGACAGTGTCTTACAGCATTTTCCTGTTAGTCTCTTCTTTCCATAAACCTGGCATTTTTTTCTGTCATAAAAGTTTTAAAAGGGTACTTAGAAAATTAACTTTTGTCATCTAGGCCCAAGTACTTCTTTATAAATGTTGAACTATATGACTATTCTCCATTTTGCTCGATAGTCAACAAATGTTATTTTTGTTTAATTATTTTAGTATTTTTTTCCCCTCTGGTTTCTCTCCTCTCCCCATCCCCAATTGAGTTCTATATGTATTCTCATGTGACTTTACCTATGGTCGCCAACTGACCACATTCAAAATTTTTAGTAAGTTTCACCTTTAGAGTCTAGTTGCAGATGTTGCTTCCTAACAACAATTACAGTCTAATTAATAAGACCACAGAATATTAAAACAATATGCATAGTCAGAATATGGGGGGGAGAAATATGGATAAGTTGTAATTTCCTTAGGATGTAAATGCTGAATATTGTATTTTCTTTTTAGATTACATCGTCAGCCCAAACATCTCCTGGCGTTTTTATTGGCTGAATTGGGTACAAGGTAAATGAATATTTTGTTTTATTAGTTCACATTTATGGACGATTTAAAAAGTTTAGTTAGAGCTTCACTTGACTTTGAAAAGTTGAAGCACATTTAGGAAAACACTGGTGGAATATTATTATCAGAGAGATTTGTGAAATGTTAAGAACAGTGTGACTTCATTAAATGTGAAACTAGCTACTCTGAAAAAAGTACCTCATTTGAAGAGAGTCAACATAAGATTTAAAATGATCTTGGTGGAGTCCTGGTGACTAGCATTAGAGATTAACTACATCTGGGTCATCTCTTTTGGTCTAGCATACTCCTTCCTCCCACCCCCTTCAGCTACTTTGAAATTTCTACCTGAAAAATTAGGCATGGCTTAATCTGCCTGAGAGAAGCAGGACTAAAGTGGTGGTGGTTTTATTTAGAAAATATTGCACACAGGTCATATTGAAGCATAGCAATGGTCAACCACAACAAAAAGAGTCTTGGTATAACTGCAAGTTTGTCAACTTTGGGCCACTCATTTCTAGTAAGATTTAGTAAAAGAGGGGCAGCTAGGTGGCACAGTGGATAGAGCACCGGCCCTGAAGTCAGGAGGACCTGAGTTAAAATCTGGCCTCAGACCAAACACTTGACCCTTACTAGCTGTGTGACTCTGGGCAAGTCACTTAACCCCAATTGCCCCCCCCAAAAAAAATTTAGTAAAAGATAATATACCCTTCAGGTTCATTATAACCAGGATTTGAACAGACATAAACATCTAAGAAAAGCAGTCAAGAGTCTTATGCTCCTATATCAGAGGGGGGGTGGGGGTTGGGAATAGCAAACTAGCCTATTATAGAAGCAAACTTTTGGGGAGGCTGCCACAGTATATATTTTTTTTAAATTTAGAAAATATTTTCTGTTTTTAATATCAACCTACATTTCCTTTCCCCTCCCAGAGAGCTATCCCTTTTAACAAAAACATTAAAAAGTGGGGGGAAAGTTCATCAAAACTAACCAACACAAGGAAAGTGTTATTCTATGCAAGTGTTCCACACCCATAGTCCCCCTCCTCTGTAAAGTACGGGGAGTTGCCTTGAGGCCACCATCAAACATCACTAGGACATGATTCATTGTCAGTGTGAGAGGCGATACCAGCTTTGGCGAAGAGCCCCTTGCGACTAGTGTTAGGCATCTTTGTGCCTTCTGTAGTGCCTCACGCCGTTCCTTATGAACATTAAGGCCCAGTACATGTTTGTGGACAGTTGAAGGTATGATGTCTTTGATAAATCAGTGGCTACTTGATGTGACCATTGAAGGGCGATGTGGCCTACAGCTTGTCTACACCTCCTATGAGTGTTGTTCATGCCTTTCCATTGAACCTCCAAGAGAGGGTCAACTGCATAATATACTGCTATCCCCAAAGGTTATTTGTTTTGAATTTGAAACTAGTAAAGTTCTCTGTTACCAAAAAATATATCTGGTTGAAATGAGATTGACTGACTTATAGTTTACAACATGCTTTCACATACAGCTTATTTCTTGCCTACACTGGCCCTCTGAAGTAGTCAGTACAAGTATTACCATTCTGATTTTGCTGATGAGGGAAACTAGAACCTAGAGAGTTTAAGTAATCTGCCTGAGGTCATACGAAGTGGTACTGTTGGGTCGTAAACCTTGGTCTTCTGGTCTGGATGTTCTCTCAAAACTGCCTCCCTCCTAGCATGAATGAAACAGTATATTCTTAGAAAAACCTCCTATTATCAAATATCAGTTAACTCTCAGATACACTAGGTTGTCTCTGTCATGTTTTTCATAATGAATTTTTTTTCCCCCTTAATAGTGGTTCCATAGACGGTAATAACCAACTTGTAATCAAAGGAAGATTCCAACAGAAACAGATAGAAAACGTTTTGAGAAGATATATCAGTAAGTGTAGAGTTTTGACTTTGCACTGTATCTTATGGCATCATGACACACAGAGCTAGAATGGATCTGAGATTTGGGCATGGGAAGCCGAGGTATTTAAAGGATTGTTGCTGCACTTGGGGCCTTCTGGCAGCATAGGGGGTGCTGTGGATAGAGAGCAGGCCTGGAGTCAGGAAGACATGAGTTTAAATATTGCCCCATGCAACTTAGTAGATAGGTGATCCTGGGCAAGTCACTTTACCTCTGTCTGCCTGAGTTCCCTCACGTGTGAAAATGCTAGTTGCTATTATTGTTATTGTTGTTGTTGTTATTATCATTATCATCTTTAATAATAATCAGAAGCTAATGTTTGGTTCCCAGGGTCAAAGGAGCAAAGTAACCTTTCCATTATTGCGACATGACTTGACTGATTTAACCATCTTCCTAAAGACCCACTTACATAATAAAGTATATAGTGACGTATTTGTCATTTCTACCAGATTAGGTAAAGTGTCAAAGGATTGTCCCTCCACCTGGCCAGAAGCAGTATGAACTCTTTACAGCTGACAATTGGCATCTGGAGAGGTTCCCTCTGGGGAACGTGGCCCATATTATAACTTTTGGAGAAGTCTGACCTTTTATCAACAACAGCTTTTTTGGTGCCCGACACCCAAAGCTTCAGAAGAGCCAGGTTGTGTTTTCTGGTGCTAGACCAATAGTCTTGGCTCTGTGTTAGTAGTTCCTAAATTGCGATTCGCCTAAAGCACAAGTCACTTTCCTTGTGACTTTTATGAGCAGTACTGTGTTGACACTGTGTTGCTTTTCCACAGAGGAGTATGTCACCTGCCACACGTGTCGGTCACCAGACACAATCCTGCAGAAGGACACACGACTCTATTTCTTACAGTGTGAGACCTGCCATTCTCGCTGCTCCGTCGCCAGCATCAAAACTGGGTTCCAGGCCGTCACAGGCAAGCGAGCACAGCTCCGTGCCAAAGCTAACTAATTTGCTAATCGACACTGGATTTTGCAAAGTGTTTTGGAGATGTGGCTGGACAGGTTTACAATCAGAGTGGATTTATCATTGTATTAAAAGCAAGATATAAAAGCTGCCAGGTTCTTATTTGGCATTGGGTTGGTTGGTCTGTGAAATCCTTGCAAGATGCAGATCCTCAAGCTGTTCACATGCTCATTGAATATTTTAACAACTGTCAGAGAAACATGATGGGGAAAGGAGGAGGTGCTTTTTAAAAAACCGTTCCTAGACTTCTGTAAAATGCAAGATAAATTAAAGTTACTCTAACAGTGACTCTTTCATGCCGGCTTGTCCTTCAGTTTCCTTTTTATAAATATATAAATATATATGTGTATGTGTGTGTGTATATATATATGTGTGTGTGTGTGTGTATATGTGTATATATATATGTATATATATGTATATATACACACACACACATATATATGTGTATATATGTATATATATATATATATAAAAAAACAAAACAAAACCGTAACTGACAAATGCAATGAAAACAATTTTACTGTGACCATGTGCAGACTCTGACTAAGTATCTGTACATTCCTAGTGTTGAGGATTGGAGCTTTAGCATATACTTTGGAGATGAGCTCCTCAGCTCCACGTAGTAAGAGAAGCACTGATTCACATGGGCAGAGAAGTACATTACAGGGATGGGAGGAGTGTGAAATCCAGGAGGAGCGATTTACTTAGCAAGACATTCCCAGTTTTTGTGGGATGATCATAATGGTTTGAACTATCTTTTAAGATGTGAGAATTGTTTACTTTCTACCTCACTTCCACCTCATGCATGTGTCCTCTAACTATGGTCATGTGGAAAATGGAAGGATAAGCTGGTTAGTACCCTGACTACTTAGAGCTCTCTCTTCCCTGCAACTTGGGGTTGTCTTAGCAATATTGAACTTTTTGCTACTACTTTAACTCTCAAACTCAACATGGCATCCCTGGGACGCTAGGGCAATGTGAAAGTGATGTATGGTATGTGGTATCGGACAGTGTCTGGACGGTGATGTTAAGACAAAGCATTTTTTCCCCTCAGCTTGTAGTCTGTGTTTCGAAAAGCCCCATTGTGAACAATTGTTTTTGTATACTTTGAAGCAGAGTGCCCATCAAAGGAGAGAGACTGTTGCCTGCAAGCCAATAACTAGTATTCCAGGTTTCTAGCAGTAGAAGATGAATGTGCCATGCCACCTTGAGTGGATTTGATTTTAAAGTGATTGTTCTACCTCTAGGAACCACGAGGAACAGTTGAAATATTACATTTGTGTGCCTATTCTCATTGGCCACATTGATGTTGGTCTGACACAAGCTAATTTAGAAGGGCACACTCCCAGCTTTCTCTACTTTTCATGACCTGGGGTCTTGAAAAGCCACCTAAGTAAGTTACTGAGCACGTGTTCTGTATGAGGCTGTGTTGGCACTTGAATGACTTAGCTATGTTATTTTAAAATCACTGTGACCCTTAATTTTAAAGTACAAGCCAAGAGGAAAGGAAACTTGTCTAAGAGTTAGTGGGTGGATGGTTTGTTTGACTGGCATGTACCCATGGTGTCTGGACCCTCGGTAGCCCAAGGTGACAGCTGCTGACTATACTTATTTTTGAACTCAACAAGAAGTTTCTATTTGGAGTTTACTTTTTTTGTATCTGCACTAACAGTTTCCAATTTTAGTGGCAAGTCATATTTTTATTTGAAAATTTGAATTTGAAAGCCACAGTTTGAATCCAGGTTTGAGATTCTAAAAGCATTTGGAATTTGAAGAAAGATCTGTAACAAATGTTGGATGTAACTTGGAGTGAATAAAGCCAGGATCAGTGCCTCTTGTGTAACACTTAGGACTGGATTGTTTCGTTTCCTTTCTTTTGGTCTTGTTTTGTTTAGTACGCTTTCCTGTATTCCAAAGGGGTCAAGAAGACTGAAAAAGGTCCATAGCTGCCTTCCCCATTGTCGGGGTAGGTCAGAAGACTTCATTTCAGAAGCAGCAGCAGTCTTGACCCAGGTCTTGACTGAAGTCTTAGCCTTGAGCCTCATTAAGGGTTCAGTGGAGCACAAATCACCCAAGTGTGTTGGGGTTGTTTTTAAAAAAAAAAAAAAAAAAAAGGCAAAATCACTGCTGATTTTCATCTATTCTGGACAATAAAAATGAACTGAAAATTAATTATGCTTACCTATGTTCAATGAGAGATATTTGGACTCGGGGGAGGCATCTGTAAAATAGGGAGTTGGGCTGGGGGTGGGTGGACTAAGTTTCTTAGGTCCCTTCCATTTAACAGTCATGATTTCCATGATTCACCTTTCTGCTTCATTGATGTCCATGATAAACATGAATGTCTATTAATCTTGTGACAATTGATTCATTCTAGAATTTAAGAGCTAGAGAATGATCCTTAGATATTAGAAACCTGAAGCTTGGGAGGAAGGACTCACTCAGGGTCACATGTAGTCAGTAGCTGAGTTGAGACTAGAATTCAGGTCTCTCAGGTCAGCATTATTTCCATATATTCACTGTCAGGAAGGCCTGGTTAGTGTCAGACCCAAGTTGGGGGACTGGCAGATTTGGAAATCATGGGTTTAGAACCAGAAGGAATCTTGTAATATTAATTATTCTCACCTAATTTACAGATGAGGAAGGAAGTTGAGGCCCAGAGAGGTTGTAACTTAGCTAAGGTCTCCTAGCTAGGAAGGGGCAAAGCAGGATTAAGCCCCACATCCAGCCTTCTGTCCCATGCTGTCTGTTCAGCATATTTGACAGGTCACAGGACTTAAGATGATAACATTTGTCCTGTGTAATTATGGAAGAGCTTTAGGCTTGACGTTACATGCTTGGTTCTTGGAAGGAAGGAATGAGATCACACCTGTCTATTGGTAAGGTAGGTATTTATCTCCATTTTATGGATGAAACCTTGGGACTATGGAAAGAGCACTAACTAGGGTCAGAGGAAGGACCTGGTTTGAATCCCACCTCTGACATTTCCTATGTGACGTTTGCTCATTTATAAAATGAGTGAGTTTGACTGGATGGCCTCAGAGAGCCCTTTCAACTCATTTCTTTTATCCCACAATTTACCAGAGGTCAGTCTCCTGACTCCCCATCCAGTGGTGGGGTAGGATGGATAGTGATGACTTTTGGCAGAAGTGCCATCCTTTGCAGCAGTTTCAAAAGGCTAGTGATATTTAGACACTGAAAAAGACGTTGTTACCCGGGGCAATGAACCTCCTGGGAGATTCGGTAATGGCTACTATCATTTGTCACAGGCAAATTTAAGTCCTGAGGCACAGTGTTAACAAGGGTGTTATTGGCAGAGGGAGTCTGAGCAGCTAGCCCTACAGATCTTCAGTGTCAGTCTGTGGTGCTGAATCCTCGCTTGGCTCCACAGAAGGGCTGTGGCTGGACAAGATGAAGGGTTAGGGATTGTGCCAGAGTAGGTGGACATGGTTAGAGGCAGCTTGGGACTAGTTTCTTCCCCATCTCAGCCTCCCCTCCCTGCTGGTATTTGGACAATACCAGGCAGGCCTGGAGTGGGAATGCAACTTCTTCCAACTTACTACCTGGATTTAGAGTTTTTAAACTCAACCACCTTGGGGAGTCAAGTATTTTAAGTATTCAGCCCCATTTTAGAGAAGAGAGTGGGCTCAGAGGGCCGTTGGTGACTTCACTTTCAGGGGGTTCACTTACCTGTATGCAGATGTTTCCCAGATCAATTTATAGTGTCTTCTGAACTCCAACCCTACAGCACCATCTGCCTCCTGGACATCAACTGAATGTCTTGTAGGTGTCTGGAGCAGAATTCATTATCCTCTCCAACCTTCTTTTTCTAATTTCCCTATTTTCGCAGAGGGGTCTACCATCCTTTCAGGTACCCAGGTTCATAACCTCAGTCTTTAACTTTTGGCCTCATGCAATCAGTTTGCCAAGGCTTATTGCTTTTTTTTTTTTTTGATCTCCACAGTATCTCTGGAATCCTTCCTTTGCATTCATATCGCCATTACTACCGGTCAGACTCATTCCCTCCTGCAGCGGCCTCCTCACTGGCCTCTTCCCCTTCTCCAGTCCATCCTCCACCACTCCCAGATTGATGTTCCTAAAGCACAGTTCTGTATGATCACATCAGGAGGGAAACTCCAGTGACTTCCTCCTGTTTGTGGAATAAAATAACACTACCCAGTCCTAGCCTGCCTTTCCAGATTTATTGCCTGTTACACTCCAAGTACCATGTTCTAGCCAAACTGTTCTTTGTGCCTGTGAAGATGTGTCTCATCCCTGCAGTGTCCTCTCTTCCCCCTTACCTAATAAAATCCCTAGCTTTTCTTAAAAGCTCAGCTCATGCTGCCTATAAGAAACTGTTCGCCTCCCCCTGCCACTTTTGCAACCTCCACACCTGGAAATTATTTACTTTGTATATATTTTGTAGGGTTTGCTTTTCTAAATTGAAGTTGTTTTTCTTTTTTCTTTTTTGAAGTTGTTTTTCTCCTCGCCCCCCCACCTAGAATGCAAGCTCCTTGAGATTAAAATCTCCCATATTTGCCTTGTATCCCCAGTGCCTAGCACAGTGTCTGTCACACGAAAGGTGCTTAATGAATGTGTTTTGTTTTTTTTTTCAAATGTGAGGCAATTGGGGTTAAGTCACTTGCCCAGGGTCACACAGCTAGTGCTATGTGGGTCTGAGGTCAGATTTGAACTCAGGTCCTCCTGACTCCAGGGCCGGCGCTCTATGCACTGCACCACCTAGCTACCCCCATAGATGTCTGTTAAATGAATAGTCCCCAACATGAACTTTAGTTCTCTGATGAGCAGAAAGCTAAGGGGTTGGAATGTTTCACCAGAAAATTGCTAAGTGAGGAGAGGTTTGACACCAAAGACATTGATCATCTACAGTGTGGGTGGTTACTACTACAGGCAAAACACTGAATAACCATAACCAAATACTATGTGACCACATAGTACATATACAGGTCCATATACATAGTATATATACACAAGATTGTTGGGGAAGATAGACTTCTAATGAGCATGAGATTCCTGCCTTTGGCAGGCTTAGTAGGTGGATAGACTATCCATGTGGATAATTGATAAATGATATATAGGTGCATTAGGTGCACATTACTACATGAGATCAGAGAAGGCAGTGTAATGCTGTGGAAAAAACACTAGATTTGGAATCATGGGACATGGATTGAAACCAGGATTCTCCATACCAACTATGACTTGAACAGCCTTGAGAGGATGGCATAATGGATAATGAAATGTTGAACCTGGAGTTTGGAAAATCTGGATTTGAT